CCTCAGGGCCGCAACCCAAGGCTTCCCCATCGCTTCACCAATGACATCTCGTCAGTGCCGTCCGAGTAGCTCTCGAGGACACTCCACATAGTCAGCACTCTCGCCTTGAACGTGAGGTCCTTGTTCCTCGCACAAGTATCATTAATTAACTGTCTCAGGGGTTCGCTGACGTTGTGGTTCACGTAGAAATACTCGAATGCCCATTCATCTTCTTCTGAAGGTCCATACCGACCACTCAACTGGATCTCAGGCAAACTCTTCACCTGCCTCTTGAAACAGATGAACCCTCTGGCATCGGCAACCCCGATGAAGGGCCCTCCAGTGACAGCTCTAGTATTCCGTGCCCTCTTGGACACCTTCGTTATGTCAACCCCTCGACGACATTGACCTCCCCTCGTCGGCACCCCTTGCACCCCGACGAAGTCTAGTAAGGAGGTTCGGTGCTCCTCGACACTGGGATCGTCGCTGACAGCGGTGTCGACCGTATCCTCACCTTGAACGTCGGTCGTTGACCGCCCTATCGAAGGTGAGGAGTTTAACTTCGAGCTCAACTCGTTGAACATGCCCGCCAAGTGCTCGATTTGCCCACGGAGCTCCCAAGCCCACGCCGGCGGCGAACCAGATTCTTCCACCGGGCGGTTCCCCGCCTCGGTGCTTCTCGTTAACAACGGATCATTGGCATCCATGACGTTAGTAGTCACTTCTTCTCGGATGATTGTACCAAAATCGATATCTCACTGCTATAACTAGATAAGCCAACTCGACTCCAGCTCTCGTAGTATACCAGCTAACTTAGTGATACGGTAGTGGCCCTAGCCAGTTGTAGGGTATTTAGTTACTGTCGATCGATACCACAAATATAAGACGGAGGTAAGTCAAGACAGTTAAGCCGAAGGTCGATAGAACCGATCTTCTAACCGAACCGAACGAAGATAAATAAACGAAGAAGAACTGAGATAACTCAGATAATGATAGAACTATAGCACAGTTATACTCGATCGATCAGACTCTTGATAACACGGGGTGAAGCCGCTGGATGGAGCCTTGCACGCAAACTCATCTTCATGAACGCAAACTCATATTCACGCACCCAGGCCCGGTCCAGCACAGGACGCTCGTGAAATATGCCCCTGGATGGGTCCCTGATCGTTGGGAAAAGGCAAGATTTCAAGAATTGGTCCGGTCGTTGTTGTTGTCGTCGAGGAGCAGCAACAGGAATGCGCGTGTTGGATGCTCTTATGACCATCACTGGCATGACGGGAGATCCATTCCTAGAATCTACGAGGTTCTCGACTTTTAGGTCAAAATATAGATGGGAAAGTTACAGAAGATTCCAGTTACAGAGTATCACGAGCTAACTAGCAGGCCGAGGCTGCCGACGTCCTCCATTTTCCGTCTCTGGTAGTTTAGCGATTCTTATTGCTTAGGAGATGGTTACCTCATCATCTCACACTGCCCCTTCTCCTCCTACCATTACCCTCTCATGGGGAGTATATCTCGTAGGATATGAGCATTGCTACTGTACACTGCTATCCATCCTTATCAGTTGATAACATTGATCATCACTACTGCCATATCGGGTACTATCAATGCTCTCCTGGCTATGGCAATGTATAGTGAGGAAAAAGCACTAGCCACTAGTAGGATTATCATCTACTTAGGATTGATGACATTGTAACTCTTTTAGGAGTCTGGGCGTTCCCCAATACTCTAGGTGGCGACCTCATAATCACTGCTATTGTAACGTGCATTGTAACGTGGGTCATTTCCCCTTCTCTTGCTATGAGAGATCTTCTCATCGGGTGAGGCTTTATTCCATCAACACTCTCTATTGATCCCTACAGGTCACCATTAAGGATAAAACCGTCATCCTTGCCAGAGTCCCCTATGAGCATTCCCGCCTGGTTAGGTCATCGTCCATTATTCGTGACGGATCCACACGATAGAGTTCATCGTGGTGCTGACTACCACTTTTGTAAACCTACTACAGTATGCTATCGACCTTAGTGTAGCGCTTCTTCATCAGCTCAGAGGAGGGTTCATGGTAGGCCTGGCCTTTGCTATTGTAGGGAGGATATACTCAATCAATCTGCCGACAGCATTGGCCTTAGGTAATCGCTCTGCCGATATCCATCTTCCTGGCAGCTGCAGAGGCTAGAGCTTCTGGTGCCCTATGGCATAGGACCACTTTGGTCGGTACCTTCTTTATTTACCCTATGGGGTACTAGCCATGTCTATAGGTATGGTTAAAAGCCCTCTTTGGGGGCTTGGGCGCTACCCTGTGCGCGAACATTGCGTTATGGACTCTCATTAATCAATACACTCTACGATTGTCTGAGGAGCAGAAGGTCGAGTGCTCTGGTAGTACTTATCTCCCTAACTGTGGGAATATCATACCCTTCTGAACAGATTACACGTCCTATAGTACTGATGGCAACAGTGAAGGGATGCCCCTTCTTACAGGGAAGGGCAATACTGCCCTTAGGGGCATTGATGGTACTATTAAGTAAAGCAAGACTCTCAACATGTCGCTGTTGTTTAGGGCCTTAAGATGACCATGGTTCTGTTGAGCTAATGGTAGCAGGAGCATCGATTTGTCTGTGAGTCCCATGTTCTTCTTGTAGTCACAACTTAAGTTGTTACCCTGTTTAAAGAGGATTGCGTTCATACTGGATACACGATGCCACATATCTTAAGTTTTTCATCGACGTTTTGGTGTTGTTGTTTCTGCTCCTTCCCATCATATGACACGTGAGGTCCGTGATTCAGATCGTGATGCTGCCAGGGAGCCTTGTCCAGATAGGATCGTAGAGGATCTTGGTACTCCTCCCTATGCTCACTTAGTCGTCGTATTAAAGTCGTCTTTAGGTGGGGCCTTTGGTATGGGTTGTGTTGGTGGTTTCCTATGGCATTTTGTGAAAGGCGCTCGTAACTCCCCTCGAGGGGAACGATTGCATGGTAAGGGTGATGCAGGTGCTAAGGAGTAGTCTCATGGCTTACATAGGTGCATTGTATTCGGCCAAGACACGGGCACCGATTCTAGGCAGTAGTTTTGCTGTTTGGGGTGGTACCTTTTCGGCATTTGATTGCAGTCTACAGTAGTATCTCTTAATCGTTGTACATGTAATCCTGGTTGAAGGTACATCCGTCAGAGGGATGATCATTGGAACGCTATTGCGTCTGGATTCCTCACTGGAGGTGGCTAATATGGAGGATAGTGACACTATTGAGACTCTCACGAGCAATAACACATGCTTATCGTGGCGTGAATAGAGTTGTATGGTGAATAGTCGTGTGAATGATAGTCTTAAGATAGACAGTTATAGTCTCTGAGCAGCTTGGGGAAGAGAGGACCATTGCGCCGCCTATTCAGTGCAGGGTATGGTATCTTTTTGTGTAGGTGTATTAGCAGCAAGAGGAGGATGGAAGACAGCAAGCAAGAATGCTGTTGTAGGTGGCATATTGTTGGCCATTATAGAGGGAGTATCAGCCTTGCTGATGAAGAGCTCCTCACAAACACCAAGGTAGTAGTAGAGACTGAGAGGGTAGGAGTATTGTTGTATTGTAGGGAACAAGCATTGATGCAAATGCAACAAGAGAAGTTAGTACAAGAGTATCAGGATAAGCACGCAGCGGTAGTAGTGTGGCTACCAACATAGTCTTACGTGAATAAGGGACCTTTCAGGCGAAGAAAACAGCTGAGGAGGCAGCTAAGGATGGGTCTATGCTCTCTGGTCTTGGCGGACTATGGGGACGGCCACACAAGGAGAAAACTGAAGGGGAGCCTTCTTCTTCTTCCAGCAGCATGAGCAGTTTCTCATCATCATCAGAGCCAACTGATTCGGTAGGCTAGGGTGTCTGGTCCGGACTAGTCTGATGATAATTTCCTATTTAGAGCGCAGAATCGTCGTCGATGTACACTTTCCAACCGGAACCGACGAGTTCTTAATTTATCATTAATCGCCGCCCTCAGTAGTAGCAACAGCCTCCCCGTTTCGGCTTGTCGTCTACTATTCGCATACCTACTACACCTGTTACTTATTCCTGTTTGTTTCCCCTACTAACTGCTTTATCGTTGTTAATGTTCGTTACGGGGTGGGGTAGAGTTATTCATGGGTCCTAAGAAGAAGGCAGCACCAAAGAAGGGTGCTGGAGGGCAGGAGGACGAGGTCGATCTCTTCGAGGAGTTCGTCAAGACATTAAGGAAACTACAGAAGGATTATGAAGTGCCCAAGCTGACCCAACTGGAGAATATTATAAATACCATAGTCGAAGAAGGGTATGCCGTAGCAATGGGGATGTTCTAAAATCGATGCGTGGGTCGTGCTCAGGGAAGAGTTGTCGGCCTGGAACTTCAATGGTCCACACGACATCATGTCCTTTAGGATTGTATGTGAGGTGAGTTCGACGAGGAGTGGTATGTATTGGCATTTGATTTGTCGGATGTAGGCTTTACGAGAGTCCAACTACAATAAGTTGAAGGCGATGAGACTGTGGAAGTGTGATATGGGGGACGAGGGTGTACGGAGTGTTTGCAAGTATCTCGAGATGCCTGTTAACCCTAAGGTCTTAACCCCTGTCACGGCTTGCTTTATTATTATATTTACTTAATTAGTTCGGTGGTTGTATAGTAGAGGATCTTCAAATCACTGATGGCGGAGTGACGAGTAAGTAACCTTGCAGCCCTCTACTGTATAGGTAGAGTCCTCTCAGGTCTCGGGTGCGCTATACTAGGGCGGACCCTCAGCTTGAATGGGTATAAGCTCATAACCCTACTCAAACTAGACTACAACAAGTTTGGCAGTGCTGGTGTCGAGGCGTTGGCAGAGGGTAACTGTTAGCTTCCAATTGTCGGATTGTTCTATTCCAGGTCTATGCCAGAACGGATCAATACGTGGCCTCAGCTTACAGTACTGTGATATAGGCCCGGAAGGAGCTCAGCACTTATCCCTTATTCTCATCTTTGTCAACTGGTGAGTATAGCGATACTCTGATGTACCGTGTACTTGACTTGGTTGTTAGTATTATAGAAGATCTCAATCTTCGTGGTAACAACCTACAGAGTGTGGGGTTCCTAGAGCTCATGTCGCGTGGATTCCGGGGGGCTAGGAAGCTCAAGGTAGGGACATTTCGATCTATACTAATGAGTATGTGGTAATCAAGGCTATCAATGTTGCTGATAACAAGATCCACGAGGATGAGAGGCTACTGCTTGAACTTACTAGAGTCTTCCGTGAGAATCTAACGATAGAACGGTAGTACGCTCGATGGGTGTGGGCATACCTTTAACTTGACTACAGATACAATCTAAGCTCTAATTTCTTCACTGATGTTGGGGCTAAGCGAGTGGTGCAGGGATTGGTAGGGTCGACCCACATTAAGGAGGTCCTTGTCACGGAGCGGTGCTCTCCTACTACATTGGAGGCATTGGAACAGGTAGTAGCTGAGGACTAGTATTGTCTACTCCGAAATGACTCTTTTCATAGAAGTTCTTTATCATTCATATTCTCTCTAACTTGCTATCTCTAACTTCTAACCTGCTCTAACTTCTAACTTCTAACTTGATTATTTCTCAACTTGCTGAGAGTCTTCGGTTATGCTCCTGCTGTTATTGGTCCGCATGTATGGAGTGAATCGTGGTGACAGGCCATGGGAGCGAGCAAAGGGAAGAAGGGCGGCAAGGGTAAAAAAAAGAAAAAGAAATGAGGAGCATGTCCCTTGGGTTGACATGAATGTGTCTGCAATGGTTGTTGCTATTGTTGTTGCCCTAATAGGTGTTTGGTTATCCATGGGCATCCTTGCTGAGTCCAATCGATAGCTTTACCATGACTCATCGTTCCCCAGTGTCTCGTCCTTCACAAGGGACTACTCATCTCGCGGGTGCAGTCACCGAGTGTGAAGTGTCACCAGAGGTGCTCACTTGGACTATCACTACTGGCACAGCCTTGCTCTTAACCAGATGTTGACGATGAAAATAAGGAAGGCCCTGAGCTCTATACGCTCTCACTTGCCACAGAAACCTATTGGTGTTGGGGAACTGTCACCAGGTTGGTATCACCCTTTGCAGATTGTGAACATTGCATGGTGTTAGATGCCGCTGAGGAAGTGATGATGGCCTGTAAGCGCTGTGTGGCCCTTGAATTCAAAGTGAAGAAGCTGGAGGCTGAGGTATGTTTTATTTAACAGTGTAGTCTGTGTGCATACTATCAGTTATCGTGCTCTAATGAGAGGAACCACAAGCTGAGTAAGGAGGTTCGAGACCTACGAGCGTCCAGGCATGAGTGGGAGGTGGGTAGTGTCCTGTATGGGGAAATATGCTATATGTGTTGGTGACAATGAAGTAACTCCACGAGCGTTCTAAGGAGGACTTGTTGTACACTTGTCAAATACATATTGTAGTGCTGGTCCTACTACTAGTACTACTGTGAACGTGCGAATTTGAAGGTTGATTTATTGTTAGGATCAACGGGATAAGTATATTGACAGACTGGCGAGAGTTAAGGAGTGGGTGAAGATGACAAAAGTTAAAGTAAGCACCTATGTGGTCGTGGTAGTGTAGTAGTCATGGACAGCACAAGATGGAGAAGGAGGCTCTCATGAGGGCACATGAGGAGGAGCTAGTCATGGCACTTAGTCGTCACATGGAATCTCATAAACACAATAAAGGACTCGATGATGATCAGAGGTTATCAAGTGTAGTATTGTTGAGCAGTCCATCGTCCTGTTCAGTGCGTCATCTGCAATGCAGCATAGGCAAGGGCAAAAAGCGTCAGAGGGGGCAGTGGTCTCACATGTGGTCAGTGCTGCACTATTATGCATAACTTGATGTCGATAATGCAGGTTAGCAGAGGGGAAGAGGGGCCCTCCTTGGATTCCTCCCGAGTATGTCAGTCGCGTCCTCTGGGGTGGTATGATAAGGCATCCCGTTCAGAGTATGGAGTCCCCTACTCGTCCCTCACCGGTCAGCTGGACGATATCTGTTACCGATCTCACACCTCGCAAGATCAACAACAGCCCTCGACAGCTCACAAATAGAAATCCTCGAAAATCTAGCGACAACCATCAACATGTTAAGGAGGCTCCTCGACGATCCAGCAACGCCCCTCGAGGGACCAGCAATACCCCTCGAGAGACCAGCAATACTTCTCGAGAGACCAGCAATACCCCTCGAGAGACCAGCAACACCCCTCCAGTGGCCAACAATACCCCTCGAGTGATCAGCAATACCCCTCGAGGGACCAGCAATACCCCTCGAGGGACCAGCAATACCCCTCGAGGGGCCAGCAATACCCCTCGAGGGACCAGCAATACCCCTCGAGGGACCAGCAATACCCCTCGAGGGACCAGCAATACCCCTCGAGGGACCAGCAATACCCCTCGAGGGACCAGCAATACCCCTCGAGGGACCAGCAATACCCCTCGAGGGACCAGCAATACCCCTCGAGGGACCAGCAATACCCCTCGAGGGACCAGCAATACCCCTCGAGGGACCAGCAATACCCCTCGAGGGACCAGCAATACCCCTCGAGGGACCAGCAATACCCCTCCAGTGGCCAGCAATACCCCTCGAGGGACCAGTGACAGACCAGAAGATTCGATCACACCGAAGACAGTCCCTACAAACTACCAGGACTGCAAGGGAGCCTTGAAGAAGAAAGACTTTAATGCAGCGCTCGAGGCCGTCATGTCGTTGGTGGAAAAGCATAATACTGAAGCCAAGAATATGATGGCATCAGCTGGAGTCGCCGAAATATTTCACAGTGCTGTTGATGATAAGGAGGGAGACGAGCCGAGCAAAGGCGTCAGCTCAGAGGAGCAGCAGCCCCAGACGGTTATACCCGATGTGGTTGCCTCTGAAGACAGCTTTGTGTCACCGGATGAGGGGGAGGTGGATACAGTAACTGTTACACCTCCCATAGTGGTATCGGCTAGCAATGTGGTGAATGAGGCAAAGCCCAAGACCGTCCTGGACATGCCTGTAGGAGGCCACACTTAATAACTTTGCTGTTACTCCCTCTCAGGTAGTGGCAGAACGGAGTAGATCGTACTCAGTATCGGTACCATACGTAGGACGGAGGTCGTCTGCTCAGTTGGGCCTTCCACAGGTAGTATTATAAAAGATATTTTCGTACATGAGGACGTCTTTAGCCACCATCGGCGTATTGGGTGCCAAACGCTGGTACTATGTTTACTACTGCAGCAAGAGGGGATGCTGGACCGACCACTGTACGGACTACGATGTCGAGTACACCGGTATCACATTCTTTGGCTGCATGGGCTCTTCATAGTATGGTTACAGGTAGAGGCCCCAAAGGGTATGTCGAGGCGGTCTTTCGCCGGGCCGCTGCCTGAGATAAGGCAGTCCAGGGCTTCATCCCTCGTCTCGAGCGTACTTGATGGTATTGTATTTGAGATGCCACGTCATGTGCAACTTCAGGCCTCGACAGGTTACGTTGGTATACAACCCCGAATCGTAAGTGAACGTGGTGGCATCTGACTGCCTGGTGGTGGTGCTTGTGAGTGGAGCTTTTCTTCAGGGCACTGCTTCCCTCCCCTTCCCGTTACTACCTCTTAACTCGGATAGACGACATTCTATGATAGTAGGCTGCGGGGATGTTAATCCCCGGGACTATATTCAGGTCCAGGGGTCTCCACCTATTGGACAGATGCGTCCATCACTGTGACAACAACGACGCCCCCTGTGGGTCAATCACTCTTCATGAGCCTTCCAATGGAAGATGTACATGGTGAGTATAAACACGTTGAGCATGCATGTACATGAACGGTTCTCGAGATGCCCCACTGACTTGTGTCGCGTAAATGTTGGGTGAACCGCGGAGGCCACTGACTTGTGGGCGAAAAGAGTCCAAACAAGTACTATACTGTCATCGTTGGCATCCTCTCATTATTGGGTATCTCGTGAGTAGCTGTGCTGTTGCCCATGAGCTTTAAGACTTCCGCTGAGGACTCCTCAGTGATATGGCGATGATACTGCTTTTATGGACAACAGCTCCCAGGAGATGTATTTACCGAAGCTGAAAGCAGCTCATTTGATATCTGCGCATGGCCCGAGGGTAAGCGAGGCTGATAATGCGTCGTCTCTTAGCAGCATGTCGCAGCAAGATTCGTAGTATTAATGCAGTGTATTAATTATCGTTCGCTATCTACTCGCCCGTCCATTGACTCATAATTCAATCCCGAGCAGCCACAGCAGCAGCAGCAGCAGCCGTGGAGCTCTAATGTATATAGTTCGCCAGAGCCTAGGAGGAGGAAGAGGAATAACGTAGTCCTTTGGTGAAGGAGAGAGGTATTATGAGTAAAAATGTCCCTAAGGAGTCCTTAGGGATATTTTTACTCCACCTAGTAATCCTTAGTAAGGACTATGAGTATGATCTGACATGGGCATGACAATAGCCATCTACCTATGTATGATAGGGAGTCGCAGTAGTAGCTTGTAACAGGGACAGTTGGCAGAGGAGGTCCTGTTCCGTACTACGGCCGGGAAACGACTCGGTGTTCATCATCTCGCATCCTCTCCATAGTCGTACCGTTCCTTTACAACATCATGTTTATGCATTGATAAAGGGTTGTGTTCATATATGTATGCATATGATTCGTAGGAGTAAGGCTAGTAAGATATTCCTAGGAACGATGCAATCACGATCGCGTCAACAAGAGGCCATACCAAGATCGTCAAGATCATCACGATCAGGTGAGTGTCTTGGTATCATCCATCATCAGCCCTTCACATTTTATCGATATATGCTATCCCGCCTTTCTGCCCTTTTCTCCTCGCAAGGTAGACCCCTCGCCCATAGGGGACGCCGCTATCGACTGGTCATCCACTGCCTGCTCCTTCTTAGGGAGCAGTAGAGGGAGTGGACGGGCTGGCTCATCCGAGTCAAGTGAACCAATGACCCCACCAGAGACCGTCCCCAGCCCCCTTAGGGCTCCACCACCACCACCTCGTAGGATGACTGGTCGATCATCATCAGGAGGTAGGCCTCTGCTACAAGGGTAGATGCAAATCCTCTTACTGGATATATGCTGCCTGTCTAATGCTTCACTTATCAGGTGGGCGGATGGGCAGTACCCCAGGGATGAGTGGGCGTCTTGCGGCCAAGTACGACTGATAGTAGCAGTTTACTACCTACCTTGCCGCCCCTTAGGACCTCCCCAGCGGCGGCCCCATCATCGGCATCTAGCTCCCCAATGAGCCCACCGATATCGGTACCTACCCCGAAGAGGGCACCACCACCGCCACCTGGCAGGGGGCGATCTCCGCCAAGCGGTTTTCGTGGGAGTAGGGCCAATCAGGGGGTGAACGGCGTCTCGGTTGACGGCGGCCATTATAGGTCCTATGAGGGGAGCTTTACAGATGAGGGGTACGCCTCCAACAGCACGGAGGATAAGTCCTAAGCGGTAGTGGGGGGCCAGGCTGGTGATAGTGAATCTAGAATGCTGTTGGGCATATAGGGCACCGAGGCAGCAACAGCCGCCACCTCCGAGGAGGAAGAGGAGTACATCAGGGAAAAGGGTAGGACGTGGTGGTGGTGTGTCAGAAGGAGGCGGCAAGAAACGGAGGTAGGCACGAGGTTATGGGGCTCTCCGTAGAATGGTAACTCGAGGTTCCGCCCTGGCACGAAAGCCCTGAAGGAGATTCGTCAATTCCAAGTAATATGAGATGACCATGCTGGGGTGGTCATCATTGTCCATACGGTTATTGCATTCACTTCTTTTATCATCTATACGTGTATATATCACCACTGTATACTCAGCGTACTACCGAGCTCTTGGTCCCGAAGGCCCCCTTCGCCAGAGTTGTTCGTGAAATACAGTTACTATTTGCAGGAGAGGAATGGAGGTAGTACCTATCTTGGTAGTATGCCCTATCCTGTATGCTACTTCTGTAACAGGTGGTCCCGTGAGGCCCTTATAGCATTACAAACAGCAGCTGAGGCTTACCTTGTAATAAGGGGTCGTCCTATCATGGCTTAGATGGTGGCCTGTTGGTAGGTGGGACTATTCGAAGATGCAATGTTGGTAGCGGTCCATGCCAAACGGGTTACATTGATGGCTAAGGTGATGATGATGTTGGAGTACTAGTGTCTAGCGATATTATTATTACTACTCCTCACAGGATATTCGTCTCGTCCGTCGTAT